TTTGAAAATGTCCAGCGCAGTTGTGGCCGAAACGTCAGGAAGAAATTCCGATAGAGCACGGCTTCAAAGCCCGGAAAACATTCCTAAATGTAATATTTAGTGACATTAAAAGACCATTAAGAGCCTGTTGTGATTCGAATTGTTTTGCAGGATTACGACAGTAGAATCACTGGCCTGAAGCCATTGGCCAACACCAACGCCGAAGAAGACATTGCGGCGAAAATCCGAAGCTTAGAAGACAAGTGGAGCGGCCAGGCCCCCTCCGAGAAGAAGCCCAAAGACCTGATGCGCGCCATAGGAAAAATTGGTAGGAACCCCTCAACTAACCACTCAGTTTCATTAATCTAGAGGAAAACTGTCGTTGCAGAAACCTCCGACTGGAACATTAAGCAAATCGAGAAGAAAATCCTGGAGAACAAAATAGGGAAACCGTCCACCTTGAACGCGGACAAGGAGCGAGTGCCTCGTTGGAGTAAGGAGGAGTTCAGAGCGCGCCAAACCAAGATGGAAAAGAAGCACCTGGACAGACAAGAGAGCGCTGAAGGTGGGCTTTTCCAACACCTAATGAAGTTGCTAACATACTTTTTTCAGCCAAATACGCCGATATAGACAGAAACATCAAGCAGCTAGAGCTGAAGCTGAAAGAAGGCACCAATCGGGAACTGGGCCAAAACAAAGTGGCCTCAATTACGGAAAAACTCGTCAACAAAACCCCGGTGGAGCCGGAAAAACCGGTAAGTTCCTGGCAAACACTGCGTTTCGTTTCTCAAAGTGGCCCCATGCAGGCGCAGCCCAAGCCCGTAGGCCTGCCAGTGCAGTCGGGCTCAGAATTCTGCCACTTCTGCTGGAAGCGCGTCTACCTAATGGAAAGAGTGTCTGCAGAAGGCAAATTCTTCCACCACAGATGTTTCAAGTAGGAAACCGCCAACGAAAACACCCAAATGGAGCTAAACAGGTTTTTTCAGATGCAAGTACTGCCACTCGCAGCTCCGACTGGGCTCCTACATGTTTGATAGGGACGGCCAGTACGACTACGGCTTTTTCTGCATTCATCACTTTGGCATGCAAGGCGAATTGCCCCGGCCGACCAAAGTAACGCGGAAACCCAGCGTTAAAGGTGAAAACGAGCCAAATGTTGACAAAGGATGATAAAAAAAAATTTTACAGGCCCCAGAGAGGCGGGCAGAAGTCCGCAGAAGAAGCCGCTATCGGCAGTGGCTGGCGTCGATTTGCTCGACAGAGGTAAAACAAGGCTCAATCCGCAAATTTATGCCAAATGAATATGTTGAATTACAGTGCGAACCCCCGAACGAATCGAATTTGCCAATCTTTCAACCGATAACATATCGGACCATGAGGAACCGCTGAGCCAAATGGACGAGGACGAATGGACTGACAAAAATTTCGGCGCTTCATGCAACGAGTTGGATGAAAGTGATGACGATTCTTCGTCTAGCGTCAGGTAAAGACGAAACATATATGCCCAAAGCATCTTTAACTAGACTGATTGGGGATTTTTGACGATTTTCTCGCAGTGATACTGATAGCGACGATGAGGACGCGTTTGACGATGCTCTTGAGCAGCCGATAACCAAGGAGGGCACCATGAAATGGGCCGAACGACTGAAAAACAGCTACCGAAAGGGCCACCACTCAGACTCGGACGGTTACAGCAGTTCCGACCACAGCAGCTACTACGAAAATAGTACCGATGGTAAGTGTGAGCTTCGCCTCAGGGGGAAGAACCGAATTGTCTTCACGCTCGCGCCAAGATACTAAAACTTCCGCCTTTTCAGACTCAGATTCGGACACTGCGACGGAAGGCGAAGAGGAAATCCGCGCCCGAGAGCTCAGAAGGCAAGAGGTGCGCGTGGAGCCTCCAGTAGTCCAAACTGACACCGGAACGGACACTGAGGTGAAGAAATCTCTTGATATATTACCGCGCGAAATGGTTCCCGATATTCTAAACGATCACAATAATCGCCTTGACCCCCAACCCTCACCCGCTATTAGCAAGTCTCCCAGTAATTACTCAATTAATTCCGAAGTGTTTAACAGTGCCGAGAGCGACGTGGACTTTAACATGAACCAAACTAGTGCACTTAATCCTAACGTGGTGGTTGGAAAGTTAACGTTTGCCCCTACAGCGGACTGCAAGCCGCCGGTCGGCTCCAAGTATAAGCAGCAGTCAAGCCGGCTGGCTAAAAGTGCGACGGCCGGCAATTTGGGCCCGAAGCCGAAGAGGAACTTCGTGCTGCCGCCTAAGGAGCAGCGGCGCAGCTTCGTCCAGGAATTCACGCCAAAATTCAAGCTGGAAGAGCCGCTTTTGGTGATCAAACGAACCCCCAGCAAGGTGAACCTCCCCAAGGAGATCAAGCCCAAAGTCGCGGTGACTGCAAAGGCGCTTGACACTAACAAGTACTTTGGGGCCCCGATGAACAAACTGCAAAGATCCGGAACGAGGATGGCCTGCCCCAAACCGCACCCGCCACTAGTCAAGCAGACCAGCCTTCCGGAGACTGGCAACTTTAACTTCGACCTGAAGGACTCTGACTGGGATAACGTGGACAACTACATCGAAGACCTGCTGACCAACCAGGACGAACTGAGCAAGCCGGTGGACATCAGCAAGTACATCCAACCGCCGGAGGAACAAGAGGAGGACGTTTCCAGCAGCATTGAGGACTTGTTCAGTGCCTTGGAGAAAACCGCTGAAGCTCCCAACATCGAGACGCAAAAGGAGTGCGATGAGAAAATCGAGGACTTGCTCAAGTGGATGGAAGAGCTGGACCATCAGACACCCGCCAGGAAAGTGTATCGCTCAGTCAGCGACGCCAAGTACAAAAACCTGGAAAGTCTGCTCAAAAGGCCCCAAACCGGCGACTCTTTGGTGAGCAAACTGCCCAAGACCAACGTGGCCTTTTTCGAGGCAATTCTAAAAGGAAAGCCTTTGGCCAAAGACAGCAGCAGCGACGAAAACTTGAACGAGACCAGAAGCATTAGCCGCTCAAAAACCGAGGTGCATTTCAACCGGAGCAAACACCCGCGAACCTCCGTTGACCTGGAGGCAGTGAGCAAAGTCAATATCAAGTCAGTGTTAAAGAAGTTCGAGTCGCTGGACCAGGAGGAGGAGGAGGCGAACTCCAAGCCAGAGAAACCCGTGGTGAAGCGATTCTCTTTGGGCAACTTCCCGGCAAAATCTCCATCTCACCGGGAGCTGAAAGCCCCCATCGTCAAGCCAAAGCCCATCGGAAAAACAATAAAAAAATTCGAAAGTCAACCGAAGGAGTTCAAGAAAATTGAGTACAAACCAGCACCTCTGGAGGCGCAGCGCTCGTTTGAAGACAGCATAAAGGACTTGGAGAAGTTTGTGGACGACACCATAGAAAGCATTGGAAAAAGCAGCAAATCGGACGGCTTGGGAAAAAGCAAGAGCGACTGGTGCGTGAACGTGACGGTTTCCTCCAAAGTGAGCCCAGAGTTTTTGAAACTTCAGCAAAAAACCGCTGAGAACCAATCGAAGCCTGCGACGGCTAGTGGGAGGGGCAACGTTGAGTCAAACCCCGCAGACGCGGACTTTGCCAAAGAGCTGCAGGATTTCCAAGTGGCGATGTCGGTTTTAACCGATGAGGCCAGCACCAGTGAAGAAACCCCCAAACCTCACAATTTCTTCAAGGCTGTTCAATCTTCCGACAGCTCAACGGCTGAAGAACTTGAACAGCCCGAGAGCTCCATTAGCTCTGAGTACAAGAAAGAAGCTGCGTTGCCTCATGATTTTACCCCAGCTGTGCTAAGCAGCTCGTTTGAAGGCGCTTCTGAAGCAGGAAAAGTGCACGAAGACGCGCTTTACAGCAAGGTGGTAAAGCCGAATAAAGAACCATCGTGTTCCCCAGCGGCTCCGCCCCGGAGGAAACACTCTCAAGGGAGTGCAGCTGTACCTCTTCCTCCTCCTAGAGCGGCCAGGCAAAAGTCGCAGGACTTGACGGTAAACAACGAAAATGTTCCCCAACCAATCGCTCCTCAGAGAAAGCGGTGCAACACCGCATCCCCATTGGTTCGGCGGAAAAACCCAGAGCTCAAACCTTTGAACCGCAATGGTAAAAGCACTTCGACCAGCAATTTGGAGAAAGTCATTGTGGGTTCGTTTGAGCTGCCCGGGCCGCAGAAGGTCTCTATCAGCGGCACCAAGTCGCTTAGCAGCGAGAATCTGCCCAAATTTCCCCCGAAGTATGGCCGCAAAGACAAAGATAAAGACTGTTGCATCCAATAAGACTTCCATATTTTTTTAAATTTTCTAGTCATTTTTACGTGCTTTAAGGTAGAAATATTCTACTCACCCACATGGATTGAATAATTTATTATTGTTAATTGTGTGTATATGTTCCATTATATTCATAGAGATAAGTTGCACATTTTCTGAATCGAATTCACTAAGCCGTTGATGCAAGATTGTAGTTTTTGAGATGTTTTTGGCTTCCGGAGTCAACAGTCACGTTAAAGCAATTAGGTAACTATAGAAGAGAGTGCAGTGGCCTTTTTGTTTTGTTGTTTATTAATAGAGAGCGTTAATCCATTGCTCACGTGAGTGTTTAACTGACTATTTGCTATATGGGTTTGTGTGTTTCAAGTGTATCAGTGTTTTTAGCAGCGGCAAATCAACAAAATTTTATTTGAAAACTGATTTGATCGTTTTTCAGTTTTTTTTTTGTAAACCTTCAGGTGTTTTACATGAATTGAATGTTTGAGATTCTACAGTGTTCACTGGATTTTTAAATTGTACAGTTGGGTCCGGATATAGTAAACTTGAAAAATGCCTGCCAATTTTCCAAAAAATTTTTACAATTTGACCGTACAAAAAGCGCGTCTATTATATCAGGACTCCATTGTTTCTGCCAAATTTAGTCAGAAATTTCCACAAATAAAAGTGTCCACT